TGTCTGTACCGCGCACTTTGAATGGCTGCATCTGTAGAAATCACAGCCCTTTTTATACATAGTCCTCCCATTTTAGGGGACCAAAAGTAATTGGACAATTGGCTGCTCAGTTGAAGAATGCTTTCAATTGTGAAGAAAAAACCCTTTTCAACTGTTGAACAGATCAGGAACACTCTCCATGATGTAGGCATAGATGTGACAAGGACTACCAAGAGAAGAATACACCAACATAATCTCAGAGGGTTAACCACAAGATGCAAGCCACTGGTGAGAAAAGACAGGTAACACTTTGCTAAAAAGTTCATAAAAAAAAGTCCCTAAAGTTCTGGGACAAAGCCTTATGGACACATGAGACAAAGATTAACCTGCCCCAGAGTAATGGAAAGGGAAAAGTATGGAGGCAAAATGGAACTGCTCATGATCCAAAGCATACTGTACCACCTCATCTGTGAAACATGGTGGAGGTAGTGTCATGGCTTGGCATGTACGGCTGCCTGTGGAACTGGCTCACTTGTCTTTATTGATGATGTGACTGAAGATGGCAGCAGCAGGATGAATTCTGAAGTGTAAAGAATACTAATTAATAATTGCTTACACTTATATAGCGCCTTTCTGGACACTCCACTCAAAGCGCTTTACCGGTAATGGGGACTTCCCTTCACCACCACCATCCACCTGGATGATGCGATGGCAGCCATAGTGCACCAAAATGCTCACCACACACCAGCTATCAGTGGGGAGGAGAGCAGAGTGATGAAGCCAGTTCAGAGATGGGGATTATTATTAGGCTGGGCAAACGATTTTTAAACATTTTTAAAAAGAAAAAAAAATGAGATATAATGAGGTGTTCCTGCTTAACTTAGACTTTGCACGACTTTAAAATATATAAAAACAGGTTTCGAGAGTTAAAAACCACTTTTTATGCGTGAAAAATGGGTGATTTTTCTTCCTCGTGATCAGCTCAGAATCTTTGTGTACGCTGTAAGGTTTTTACTTCTTAATTAAACTTTTAAAATACACTAATTTCTTAAAGACAACACACGTTTCGAAGAGAAAAAATCCCATTCTTTTCTCTTCCTGTTGTGTGAAACTGATCAGCAGGTCTTTTTTTCCCAATCAGAGGATCTGAAAATAGCGTACTGCCCATTGCGCTCCATCAGAGAGGGCCGCAGCACCGAGAGGGGGAGGAGGCGCGGAGGTCAGCAGTACAGAACAAACGTTTTGCTGCCTGGAGCGCTTATGGCAGCAATCGCGTCTGCATTTATAACTTAGTTTTTAAAATTAATCAAGCAATATGAAGCATCTCTTTTTAATTTTAAGTCCCTTAATTATCATTAAGCACAGCTTTCTCACCACTTAGACTACTTTTTGACACCATCCTTAGACAAAGCAGAAACTTGTTGTTCTGTGTAATGACATTATAAGTGGAAAGATTACAGATTTTAATCGTCTTTAATTTTGTTACGTTATCAATTTAGAAACGTTTTATTTATTCAAACACCATAAAACTATTCTGGATTGTATTTCTGAATGGTATGTTACACTTAGTTCACTGTTTTAAATACATCTAATTTAGAAAGTTAGGTGTTAGCATAAACTGTTAGTAATCAATAATATTAAATTTAGCACTGTAATAAGTTGTTGTACTTTCCCCCGCATCTTGTAAAAATATATTTTCATTGTTCAAATATACATTAAATCTGACTATCATATAATAAGTTAAATACAAAATTAAAGAAAAAATAGGGTAAAATATAATTCAAAATATTTTGCTAACAATGTTAACTGCTTATAAATAATAAAATGTATTAACTAAGGAGTAGCATGGCACAGTTGTTTTTGTTTTGTTTTTTTTTCATAAATACAACAGTAGTACCTGACGTCTCAGTGGCTTTCAAAATTAAATTATGCATGCAAACCTGTGAACTAGAAAGATAACTAAGATATCCATCCA